GTGGCCACCAGTGAAAAGAGGCCGCCCCATCCTCCTCACTGCCTCCCTTGAGGTACTTCTAGACACTGCTCAGGTCCCCTCTCAGCCTTCTCTTCTCCAGCTGAACAGGCCCAGCTCCCTCAGCCTCTCCTCATAGGGCAGATGTTCCAGGCCCCTGATCATCCTCGTAGCCCTGCGCTGGCCTCTCTCCAGCAGCTCCACATCCCTCTTGTCCTGTGGAGCCCAGCAGTGCTCCAGAGAAGTGCTCGAGCACCAAAGCACGCCGATCGGAGGGCACCCGAGCGACAGAAGACACAAAGACATCGAGGCCGCAGCACAGCAGCACCTCGCTGTAAACCTTCACCTGGCCTCGTGCAGGAAGGAAGCACTTAGGACACTCGGGCAAAGCCTCAACATTTTATCTAGCACAAGCAGCCGGGAATTCTGCTCTGGATCCAGTGCTGGGGTAGGGGAGGGAGGGGGTGGACGGTGCGCCCAGGCAATCGGGACGTGGGCCATGGAATACGAGGTCAACCACGGCCATCTCATTAGTCACAGCCAGTCTTGGAGCTCAGTTGTCTTCCTCCATTCCTGCAGTAAGAAAGGATTGAAACATTAAGGCCTATGAAGTATGGGAAAACCAGAAAGGGTTAAAAAAGACCCAAAAAGGAAATAAAAGTAGCTTTTTAAATTGCTGATTCTCAAAGATTTTGCCTCATAGGGAGAAGCGAATTAGAGATGCTCCCTGCAAAGCAGCAATGCTGTGCATTGCAGGACTGGTGCTGAAATACCAAGCCATGGAAATGTAAAGAACGTGCAGTTTCCAGAAACTATTTCAAGAAACGTTTGGAGGAAATTTGAGAGCGAGATTTTTATCTAACTGGAGACAGATTTTTAAAAATCTTCTATATTTCGCACATTGCATTACTGTATTACAGTCAAAAATAAAAAAGAGCGTTATATTACAAAGTAAATTTTGGATGTTTAAAGACAACCTTTGTACAAAATACTTCTGTACTGCATTTGTACATGAATAAGGTATGTGCATATGTAATATATACACATGCTATTCAGTACATATAATTTAGTATATACATACATAGAGTCTAAACACATTTTAATAAATACATATATAAAAGTGTATGTGTATAGCGTGTCTCTTGAAAGATGCAAAGAATGAATTGGCACAAGTAGGTGAAGAAGGTTATAGAACCTCACAAAAAAAAAAAGGATTTTTTTGCCAGATTTTGCAAGTCTGGCTTGACAAGAGACCAAAACCATTTGCAATGTGACTCCAGAAAAGCGCAGCCTTATCCAGGCTTACTTACCAGGTAGGCTAAGCCTAAGGGTGAGTGCACGCTCCTTCCGCGAGACCTGAGCTGGAGCCTACAGAAGTCTAGGAAAATGAAGCAGCTCAGCACTGTTTATACCAAATCAAGAGTGCTCCTATGCCAAATAATTTCTGCTTTGCTCTCCTTTATGATCTTTCTTTGCTGCATGCACAGGTTGGACTTGGGACAGAATCTGTTCCAACACATTCAAACAGAATATCATTAAAATATATTTTAAAGTCCACTGATAGATAGTCAAAGAATTGAGTAAGCCTCAGAGGCATTTTTATTAAACGCAGTGAGTGAAGTCTGTAAGTCCTAGCTTAAGTTGAGGGCTCCCTCTTTAATCACCATTCCAGCTATGCGTCTGCAGAGGAAAACACAGCTCCGAGGAGTTTTGCATTCACACCATTATATACCATATGTGCTATCCAAACAAACAAAAACCCCTGTATTTGAAATGTGTCAAATTTACATCAGTTTTATTACAAAGAAAATTATCTGCTAATGAGATGTTAGTAGAACTATGTTTTGACAAGCTAGATTCAGATTCCCATTGTGCTAAATTCACTGCTTTTAAATACAGAAGAAAAACAGTATGTCAAGAGCAAAGAGAGAAACAAACTGTTCTTCATTCCCTTTTTCATGATGAATGTGTAAAACGTAACCTCTGCTTTTTCCTTCAGCCTCCTGCTAGCTGCAAGCGATGAAAGCAGAAGGCAAGTTAAAGCCACAAAAGGTAGCCTCAAAAATAGATAATAATAATTAAAAAGCAAAAGGATGGGGAATAATACGGGGATAGGCAGGTCCCATGTGACATCCAAGGCTGTGCATGCTGGGGAGGCACCGGAGGAATGGAGATGGGAAGGTGTCCAGACTCATCTGCTTTCCTTAAATAGCTTTTCCCAAGGCCACGGATAGAGACAGAATGCTGAGCTGGAAGCACCATGAATAGGACCTAGGAGGACACTTCCACACGTTAATATTGTTCAAGGATGTGTATGGAGTTTATAAATATAATTAAAAGACTGGGAATCAAAGCAAGAGACGGGGGAAGGCAGCTGTGTTTCTCTTTACAAGAAGGAAACATCAAATTTTACAC